CAGGATTTAAAACAGTACAGGGGGCCCTGCAACCCATTCAAAAAAGCTACTCCTGAGGGTCCGCAGAAGCTGAAGTTCACCTCTTCTTTTCCCAGAAAAAGAGGCCTCTGGGTGAGAGCTAAAGGTGCAGAAACAGACTTGGTGGGTTACATGTAGCCCCAGGGTGCATTTTGCCCGCTGCCCTGTTCTAAATAGACAGTCTTTCTCCTGAGCATTAACTTTTACAGGTGCAGTTTATTCATGTTTAATGAGTACAAGGAAGGAAGGAAGGAAGGAAGGAAGGAAGGAAGGAAGGAAGGAAGGAAAGGCAGGCAGGCTGTCAAACTGTCAAGGAATAAATATAAAGATTTAAATAATTATAAAAATATTAAGTGCTATCAATTTAATAGCATTTTAATCATCATGGCTCCGTTTTAGAGGATTCAGGGATGCATTGTCAGCAGAGGCCCTGGATGGTTTTTTCCCCCCATTATTGTTCAGTGGAGTGTATTAGCACTGTCAGGCAAAGAACTCTTAAGTACATATCTCAGTATTTCATGGGATGGAGGCATGAGATACAGGGATATTATACTGTGTAGTGTACAAAGATACCTACTCCATGGTCATTGCACTTCTTCCCACAGTCTCCAGTATCAAAGAAAGAGGTGTTCTGACAGTGCCCCTCAAAGCAAACCTGTAGGAGGAATGGTATGTTCAGAATTAAGACTGATGAAACAAGAAATGTTAAGAGTGCTTGGGGGTACCAAAAATGGCCTAAGTAGATAATCGGGTCTGCATGCCTCTTGAAGGGGTGTGACACGTGACCACATTGAAAACAAGCAAAGATAGCTCTCTTCATCATGTCCGTAGGCATAAGATGCATGATTTGCAGTAAAAGGCCTGCACTTACATGATTGTCCCCACACTTTGTCCCTGCCATCACAAGTCCTGGGTCCAACATATCCCCTTCGTTTTCCTCGTCACGATAGACGTGAGTTCCACGACAGTGGATCTGCCTTCCATTTAAGGTGATTGTTGTATCAATCGCAACAGCGTTGGACTCCAAAGGCTTAGAAGCAGAACTCTGGCACTGGATCTTGCCACACTTAGCATCCCTGGACACAGAAAAGAAGGCATGTTCCCTCTGAGCATCCTGGCTACAGGTTTGGCTTTTCTCAGACAAAAAAGCAGACAATTAGAAGATTTGTAACCAAGACTAAATCACTGCAATGCGGTTGATGAGGCTGCCCTCATAGAAGATGCAGATGTGGCAAAATATGGTGACCCACATCTCGAGATGGATAAACTTGCTAGGAACACATCAAACCCTTACCAGCCTTGGCCCCTGAGTATCTCAGAGACTGTAAATTAATTGCCAGGTGAACATACTTAGGATTGCTGCCTGCATCAAAGTCAACCTGAACAAGACTACACTTTGACATCAAGTGATCTTAATGATGGGTTTCCATTAACTTTGTGTCCTGTTCCCACACCATCATGAGATTATTCTAGATCAAGTCACTAGTTAATGTTATGCTTTCAAGCATAGTGCAACAAAAAAAGCAAGTTTGTCATTATTAAGCACAGAAGCCTGCTTTGTGTCCTTCTCAGTGGGCAGACTTCTTGTCTGGCAGAAGTTTCTGGTCCAGGCTAACTTGTGAGCAGGCAGCTCCTCTTGCCACTTCACAGAGCAGATGGGGTGCAGACTCCCAAATAATTCTGCCTTTCTCCTCAGATGTGAACCACACATCCAAGGGATTATTCTGAGAGGAGAGACCAGGAGAAGTAGCTGATTGTCCTTGCCCTAACCCGGAATCCTATAGTGCAAATGTATCTGAACACTCGTCTGAGAAACTGGTGGCCATCCAGATGTTGTTCATTTATGACTTCCACCATGCAGCATCGTTGGCTAAGCCTGCTAGGCCTGAGGGGAACTGGAGTACATCAAAAAGTAGGATGGCCACAGGCTCCCTCCCACAGGCCTGTTCTGGAGGATTTAATATGAAGCATGTATTACCATAGTTACCCATTCTATTTAAACAAGAGTGAGCAGACTTGTTGTCTGGGAGAAGTTTCTGGTCCAGGCTGCAGATATACTTGTGAGCAGGCAGCTCCTCTTACCACTTCACAGAGCAGATGGGGTGCAGATTCCCAAATAATTCTGCCTTTCTCCTCAGATGTGAACCACACATCCAAGGGATTATTCTGAGAGGAGAGACCAGGAGAAGTAGCTGATTGTCCTTGCCCTAACCAGGAATCCTATAGTGAAATGTATCTGAAAACTGGTCTGAGAAACTGGTGGCCATCCAGATGTTGTTCATTTATTCCACCATGCAGCATCGTTGGCTAAGCCTGCTAGGCCTGAGGGGAACTGGAGTACATCAAAAAGTGGGATGGCCACAGGCTCCCCAGGCCTGTTCTGGAGGATTTAATATGAAGCATGTATTACCATAGTTACCCATTCTATTTAAACAAGAGTTGAACAAAGAGCCCACATTAATTTGTAGTCAGTCACAAGACAAAGTTGCTTAATTTTTCATCCATTTGTTTGTGAGGACACAAGAGGGATCCCCTCATTCAGACCAGAGCTTGGCTCTTTCATACCTGGCACTGCAGGTCTTGTATCTGCCGTTGGTATCCTTCCCACAGTTCCCATAGGAATCTCCAGCAGCATTTACTTTCTCAAAGCAGAGGTCGGGGGCTGGCCTAGCTCCTGCATGAAAGAAATGCTGTGTGATTTGTCTCCCCAAAACAAGGCAACTTCCCCAAACTTCCCCACTTAATTTCACACTTGATGTGAACACACAGCTATCCTTGTGTAGGTGAAAAGAACAAGGAGGGGGAAAGGTTCACCCCTCTGAGATAGCATAGCTCTTCCTCTAACAGAGGCAAGCGTGGCTGTCTATGACATGGTGTGAACAGCAGAGTAATATATGACACACCTGCAATTTGTGAGGAAAATTTTTTTTAATCATGTAATTTTTTGTAAGGCTTTTTGTTGCCATGGTAGTAAAAAAAGGGTTCACAAAAGCTTTCACAAAACTATAGGGAAGATGAAGAGAGAAGAAAGAAAACAACCCAGAGTTCACAATCTGCTAAAACTGTATGGAATTTAAACTGAATTTTATGCAGTTTAGAAATTTTAAGATACCATAATTGGTGTCTGGATGAAAATTCACAGGGGAAACCAGACTAGCTGAATGAGCAGAATGATATCTCCCACTCAATTCTATTGGCTTACAATTTACCAAAATGGGATTAAGAACTACAGTTTAGAGTGGTCATATGCAGGAGTAGTGAGTAGCTGCAAAGGCCTTGGTGCCCATGGAATTTCAACATGCACTTTATTCCTCTGTGCTATGCCTCCTAGGTGCTCCTCCCAAAATTCTGTCTTCTATTGAATTATTAAAAGTACAAAAACCAGTTACCTTTATTGCAGTGGTTCTCAACCTTGGCCTCCCAGATGTTCTCGGACTAAAACTCTGGCTGCGTTGGCCAGGATATCTGGGATTTGTAATCCAAGAATGTCTGGGGACCCAAGGTTTGGAACTACTGCTCTATTGTATTTGGTCATAACAGCCACAATCCATGAAGACTGTGGTCCATGTCCTGGCCTATCCCATGCCCGGCTGAATATGAGACCCACGAAATATGTGTGTGTTTTTTTTAATGGAGATTAAAACTTCCAGAATCCTTTTCCAGGTGCTTCTAGACTGAATGCACAGCCTTTGAGAGGAACCCTTCTTACCAGATCCCCAGAGCTGGAGACACTGCTGCTCATAAGTGAGGCACATTCCACTGTAGCAATAGGCTCTCCCGTCTGCACATGGAGTGCCGTCCATTTGGTAGAAGTTTGCAGGGCAGAAAGGGGATTTGCCTGTACAGTACTCCGGCAGGTCGCATGGTCTAGCTTGCTCTCGGCAAAGAGTTCCCGGTGAAATCAGCTAAAGAAAGAATTCAAATTATTATCTCAGGGTAGAAATTAGGTATCTTAGGGGAAAGGGGCCAGCTTTTGGCCTACTAATAGTTACTCCGCCTGCTTATGAATTTATAACAATTTAATTCCATCATGTAACAGTTCCAACATTGTAGGCTTCTTCTGAAAGACAGACTTTCACTCAAGACAAACAGCAATTTCCATTTCTTAAATCTTTCCTTGTTAATTGTATACTGCTTTGCCCTCATAATAATGGGAGACTAAGTGTACCTATATATCTCAGTTCAGGGTCAGGTTGTAGCTTTTGCTGCAGTCATGTGGGCAAAAGATAGGCACCTGACCAGAAATTTGACCCTTACCTTTTATAATTGCTGTAGTTTATAAAAACTACAAAAATCCTTAGCTTACAAGTGGGAAACCATGGACCCACCAATGCTTTGGAACTACTACTCCTTCATTATTGGGAATTTGCCTGAAAAAGGATCATTATTATTAAAAAAAGGTCTGAAACATATTGCAGCAATAAAGACACTTCTTTTTTGTGATGGTAGATTGTACTTTAGATGGCCTATTCTGAGGTCCCCAGTTTTGCTGGACCCTGCTAACAACCTCCCCCTGATACACCGATGAGTTTAGTCCAGAGTAGACATCACTGGGCTCAATAAATACAGCAGCATGAGCTGATTTCTATACAGTATTTTGTACAGTGTCTGGAATATAGTGCATTGCACAGAATATATCCCAAACAACCCAAAAACTGGGTGGGCAAAAGGTTGAACCACTTGGCGACATACAAGTCTCCACTCATAGTTCTGGGTCCAGGGCTTCAGAATCTGCCTAGCGCCAGGCCACTCCTATTTGATCAAGGAGATCTGAGGTTCCCAAACATGGCTAATACAAGTGTTCTTGGACTGCAACTCACAGAAAACCTGGCTAGCGCAGCTGGTGATGAAGGCTTCTGGGAATCGCAGTACAAGAACACCCGGGTTGCCCAAGGTTGGGAACCACCGAAGTGAATGAAATGCTGAACACTAAAGCCATTTTCCTCCCAAAATGCCACACAGTGACAGGAAGGAAAATAATTTGGGTTCAGAAAAATCACAGGGAATCCTCTATTATTCAAATGGAGATAATTCCTCAACAACCATTATTCCATTAGTGATATGGTACACTGCAGGAAATGCTGTGTATGTAGGCTGGTGCACAGCTAACTGTATGCAGATCCTGCCATGTAGAGGAGTAAGAGTTGCATGCCATCCCAAACAACTCAAAAGTTGGGTGTGCAAAAAAGTTGAACCAGTTGGCCACAAGCACAGAGTCACTGAGAGCAGCCATTTTAAGCAACCACCAGACCCCTGGAACTAGTCCTCAGTGAGGGGTTAGAAGAAGCTGACATACCAAGACAATTTTAACTGTATTTTCCTAGGAAAGCTGAGATGTAAACTGAGACACGGACATCTGTATGCAGATATATATATATATATGTATGACCAGCAGATAGATATATATAAACTCTATCCAAGAGCTGAAGCTTGATCAGCCTGCTGGTCATTAAAAGAATTCAGCTGTGCCATATAGAACAGAATACATAACTGTGAGCCCAAATGCAAGGCAGCTTAATCCTCCCACAAGAACTCTTCCTGTGTTCCCAAGCACATGTTTTGTCTTTCTGATGGCTGAGGCACAGCACACAAATGAGAGGACACCAGTCAACTGGCAACACAATCTCACTGGGTGGCTCCAGTCCCAGCCAGGCCAGCTGCCTGCTTTGAAAGATGAGCTTTCCACTTGCAGTTGTTAAGTCCCACAATCCCAGTATAAACCAAAACAGCTGGTGGCAGGGAAGGCGAGAGTGGCTCCCTGGAGTAACAGAAGAGGATAGATGGCTCATGATCAGGGCAGGAAGGTTCCCCCCGCTGTCTGGACCACAAGCAGGCCCTGGTTAGTGGCTCTTTCCTGGTACTGTTCTGCCACACAGATGTCTGCAGAGTTCACTGCCCAGATTGTCATAAAACATTTCAGCATCAGAAGGATTTTCAAACCGGGCTAAATATGGGCAAAATATAAATATGAAAATGTTCAATGCAAATGGTGCATAGATGTTTCAACAGGCAGGTCTCCTTAGAATAAACACAGAAGTCACTGGCGTGCAATCATTTTCTGACTGTTGCTTCTACATTCTGCAGGCAGAATTTCAAATATAGTGGTGCCTCGCATAACAACAATAATCCGTGCAGCAAAAATCGCTGCAAAGCGATTTTGTTGCTATGCGATATTAAAAAGCCCATAGGAACTCATTGAAACCCCTTCAATGCGTTCCTATGGGCTTCAGACTCACCTTTAAGCGAAAATCCTCCATACGGCGACTATTTTCGCTGCCCGGTAAGTGAGGAATCCGTCCCAGAAAACAGTGGGCGGCCATTTTTTTTTACCCAGCGGCCATTTTGGAACCGCCAATCAGCTGTTGGAAAATCATCGCTATGCGATAATTGGTAAGCGAAACAGCAAACCGATCATCGCGAAGCGATTTTTCCCATTTAAAACATCGCAATGCGATCACAAAAGCAATCGCAAAATCTTCGAAATCTATGCGATTTTGTCGTTAAATGGGGTGCCTGTTAAGCAAGGCACCACTGTATTTTAAATAATGTGAGCCAGCATGATATGGAGGGGAGAGTGCGACCTTGTGATATTAGAAATCCCAGTCCTAGACCTCACAGAACCATAAAGTGAGTGAGCTTAGAGAAAAAAGCCATGTGTCCCACTTTCAGCTTGCCAGAGGAAAGCCAGGATAGACACGTAACAATCAGACGTCGTCTGTTTGCAACCAACTGTGCTACACCTGTTTTCTTCACTTCAGCATCACCACCTGTTAACTCCTGGGTTTCTAAAGTGAGGAGTGAATGTGGTTCACAGCACCTATCTTGCATTCAGGTTTCAGACAGAAGAAAAGGATATGCCTGCCCTCCTCTTTAAATTTCAGTTTTTGAGCTACAATATAGAGACAAGCAAGCCTTTCCTTTAATGTGTCAGACCCAGAGCTACGCAAAGCGCTCACCTTGCACAGGTGACAGCAGGCTCCATGCGCACACTCAGCACCAGCCTTCAGAGAGCAATTAGCAGCATTACAACAGGGATTATTGCATTCCTGAGAGAGAGAGAGAGAAGAGAGAGAGAGAGAGAGAGATGGGAGAAAGAAGACAGGCAATGTGTTTACATGGCAGATGTTCTGCACCTGAAAATGCTGAAGACATTTGGCTGTGTTTTTTTCAGGGTGGATTGGAAACCTGTTGTAGCTGCACATGCTCTCAATCTTCATCTCACGTATAACAAAACATCTGAAGTAAGAGCCTACTATACTTTTGAATCTTATCCTAGCCACAACAATGTGCTTGTGTGCTGCCAATTTATCCAGCTGCAGCCTTTCTCCCACTAATTTGACTCAAAATAAGGACAGAGTAATTTGTACAGAGGCATTGGAACGATCTGTTAGAATTGCAAACTACACAACCACTCTGGATCAGTTCTGGCCACTTCATTTCTTGTTCTGTCTGCATTGCGACAGTCTGTGACTACAAGCAATCATAAAAGTGAAGAAAAGGATGAAGGCAAGTCTCAGGAAGGCCAGAGAGCCTGAAGCGCTCTAACGCTATCACTGCTCTATAAGAATCCGAGACACTGGATAGTAGTAAATTGAAGGTCAGGAAAGTTTGGGGTGAAATCCAGCAAAATCATTTAATTAATGAAAGTTACATAAGTATTGACTATCAATTGATTGATTGATTGATTGATTGACTGATTGACTGATTGACTGACTGACTGACTGACTGATTGATTGACTGATTGATTGATTTAAACCTGTATACTATTCAATTAGTGCTAGGCTCTACTCTGGGTAGTTGGCACCCAAGGTAAAATGAACATAAAATAAATCTCAAATAATATACTAAGAAATAAGTGCCACATGTAAACAAGTAAACAACGATTGGATAATAAATCAAAGAAAACCCAAATAATGGCAAACAGGGACGATAAAGATGAACAATCGATGGAACGTTAAGAGAGGATGCTTTCAAAGGCTTTGGTAAACAGCCTTGGTTTTGAGCATCAAAGGCTGCAAGGGAGTGGGCCAGCTGCAGCTCCCCCAGGAACCCATTCCAAAGGGATGAGGCCATGACTGACAAGGCCCTGTTTCAAACAGAAGACTTCCTGGCCTTCCTCAGAGTGGTAACCCAAAGGAGCATGGCCTGAGAGGATCGGGTGATGTGGATAGATGTTTGTAGGGAAAGATGCTCCGACAAGTAGTGAGGTCCCAAACCATAGAGGGCTTTATAGGTAAGAACCCTCGCCTTGAATCTGGCCTAGTGCAACACAGGGCAGCCAGTGCAGGCAGGCCGGCCAGGACCAGGGAAATGTGATCTAACTTATTCACAGTTGTCACCAGCCTGGCTGCTACATTAGGCACCTGTCAAAATGTCTGGGACAGTTTCAAGGAAAAGCCCCACATACAGAGTGTTGTAGTAGTTGACTCTTGAGATCACCAGCACATGCACCAACATCCTCAGCACCCCCTATCCAGGTAGGGTGCAACTGGACAATCATCTTCAGCTAGTTAAAGGCTGACCTGGTCACTGCGACAATATTTTATTTATTCAATTTATATGCCACCCACACTACCCGGAGGTCTCTGGGCGGCTTACAATATGGGATTCCCATGAATGGTCCGGATCCAGGAATACACCCAGAATACACACTCCGTACCAAAGAGGGAAGGTTACACTATGCAGTCTGGGGAGACAACCCTCTAATCTCTCCACAAGGCTCCCCAGAAGATGGATCTCCTTCATATCCAGGTTGAGCCATTCATTTAGTGAGTCCCACATTACTGGGATTAGAGATTGGATTTAGTCCTCTCACTCAAAACCACACTGGCGCTTTCTGAAGTGACAGGCGACAATGAAGAAAAATAAAATAATGTTGGCACTTTCATCCATTTTGGGAGTTTCCCTGGAGAAGTGCCATACCTTGGCTACAGCAGAGCACAGAAGATTCCAGGTGCAGTCCTTGGTAGAGGAAAGGACTGCAACACCAGATGGGCAGGTCCTCTACCTCACATTAGTTAGAAAAGACTAGCTCTCACTACCCCTGTCCCTCCCCCAGCACCTGACAGATGTACTGAACAGCTTGGCCATCTTGACTACAGATGATGGCCATTAAAATCAGACACAACTCGAAATTGCTGAGCTACGTAGGTGGGGCGAGTGGCTAGACAATACTAGACAATACTGGCTAGACAGACATTTTGTCTGACATATTTTATTTATTTAATTTGTATCCTGCTCCCATTAGTGCCAAGGCACTACTCTGGGTCATTGCAACACACACAACATTGTAGAATACAACTTTCTATGTTCCAGGTCTTAGTCTTTCATAACATATATTATACTTGACTCCGTTCCAGATGATACTGGAACAAATCACATCCCATTCTGCAAACTTGGTAGTTTTACTGGCAAGTATATTGAAAAGTCAGCAACTTCTAATGGTCTGGGAGCCACACTTGCCTATCCTTGGACTTTAGAGGGCAGCACATACTCACATGGCCCTGTGCCCATGTATTTTACTTAGATATATGAGTTATTAAACCAACAAATCCTCCCTGCACCCTTTAGTGGGCAATTGTTGTGGTGCTTTTTTAACTGGGGTGGGGTGGGTGGACCCAGAGGTGCTCAGCAACTCTCAAAAATTTCAAGCCACAGGGGTGCTTTAAAAAAAACAATTTTGGAGTGTGTGGGATGCTGTGAGAGCAAGGATGCCGGAGGGGTGTACACGGCCCATGCCTACTTTAGGAAGCTTCCAGATGGAGCCCGAGGCAAAAAGCAGTTTGGACCTATTTCCATCTGTTCTTCCTTAAGATTTTTTCCCCATATAGGAAAACACAGGCAGGCTACTACTAAAAAAAAATATCCAAACTTTCCACAAAATTCCACCAATTGCACGATAAGAACCTTGTCTGTTCTGTTCTATTCTGGAAAGGAATAACTGCTCTGCCTCCTTGTCTGAGTGGGCAGCTGCTGGAGGAGGTGGAGAAGGGAAGTATGTGCTCCAGCTGCCACTGGACGGTCGCACAAAGTGCAGGAGATGAGCAGCACATGCTGCCGACTGGTGAGTGGGAGTAGGGAATGTGCAGCACCATAGGTGCCACGCCAATGACTTACGATGACCCAGCCTGAAGTGAGTCACGCCCATCTCTACTAGCAACCTCTTTGGCCATAAAATCTATGAAATAACACTCTCTCCCCCTTCCCCACCAGAGATTACCTCCACTTCTCCACAATCACATTCTTCTCCTTCTTCCAGATAACCATTTCCACATCGCTGTCCTCCATATAAGGTCTTGGTATCAGGCATATTATACAGACACATCCCTCCACCAGACTGCAAGTATCGGTCCAGCTCCTTCTTATTGCACCTGTTAAAAACCCGGGGAAATGGATCCCTGCAAAGAAGCAGAACCCCCACTTTATTTGAACAGATTGCCCAGTGGCAAATTGACAATGACCGATGGTGCCCTCAGCTTCCCCTCAGTCTGGTCCAACTTTCATGGCAAACTGATGTCGTCTAAACCTTTCAGACCAGAGATTAAGAGGGTTACTTTCTAGGATTCTGCTCCCAGAATGTTCAAGCCAGCATGGCCAGTGGCTCCGCTTGTTTCAGGGTTCGAGGGGCAATCATTCCAAAAATTTTCCAAACTTTGTCCTGGACAAGTGTGTGGACTGGCACCTATTAAGCTTATATTCCTATGCCAGGCTGAAAGAAGAGCCAACGGCACTGCAAATTTTTGTTGTTGTTAAAGTGAGATTCCATCCTGTATCCTTGCTCTGCTTGATTTTTTTTTAAAAAAAGTTTAAATTTAAATTTTGTTTTATTTGGTCTTGAGTATTACTTATGTGAGCACTCCTAACCTGTGAGGAAGCCAAAAACAGGTAGATAGAAAAATATACAGGACCTAGAACAAGCTATAATTCGTCCCTCCGAAATTAATGAAAGCGCAACAGTGCAGCTGAGTTTTTAACACCTCTTAGTGAGCACAGTGGGTAGCCAACTCACCCTGTGGCAGCAGCCATGATGCACCCTCCATCTCTTGCACTGGCTGTGCAGCAGCCGGCTGAATCGTGGCTCATGCCGAAGTTATGCCCCATCTCGTGAGCCATCGTGGCTGCAACACCAATGGCATTTTCAGAGTGGTCCTGTGCCAGCACAAAACCACAGGTAAGAGTCCGCATCTTGTGGAGCAACTTGCAAATCGAAATGTATCTTGTTCAGCTCAGAAGGGGGTGGCCAACGTGATGGTGCCTGACATGAAGGTGTGGTTGAGATGCCTGTAAGAATTGTGTGCCTTGCAGTCTGAAGACACCAGAACTTGCTCTGGACGTCTTCTCCTTCCCACTCATCCAGAGACAGCGCTCACAGCACTCCCTGTCCCAAGCTTACAGTCAGTCCTATACCTACTTACAGAAGTAAACTCCTTGCATCTTGAGGAGATTACACCCTTGCAAGTACATGTAAGTTTGCCGCTTTAGTGTATCAGTCTTAGAAACCCAGAGTGATCATAGGAATTGGTCAGATGTCATCTGAATTGTGCTTTCAAAAATATTTCAGCCCCAAGGGAGCTAACACATGCTCTAACATCTATAGTGTTGCCTTAGCTTTCCTTAATAATAATTCATATTATCAACAGCACTGGAAAGCTAGGGGGCTCATCTCTCTTGAATGGGCACGCACCTCAGTTCAGAGGTTTGTGGCAGTTCATACACAGGACACTACAGGTGCCGCACATTCCCCTCCCCTGTCTCCCTGGCCAATAACCCCCTCACCAGTCAGAGCACACTCCTCTTCTCCTCTTCAGCTGCTCAAGCAGTCCCCAGCAGGAACATGGGTTTGCCTGTCCTGGTCTGAATGGGCAATCAGCCGAGGAAGCAGGTCACGGAAGTCTGTGCTCCTGCCGGAGCTGGTTGAACAGCTGAAGAGGAGGAAGAGAGGAGCATGCGCTGGCTGGTGAGGGGTGGATTCAGGTGAGGAGGCAGAGGAAGGGAACATGCAGCACCTGTGGTGTCATGTATATGAACAGGAACAAAATTCCAAACTGAGGTTCTTGCACATCTCTACTCCTGGCAACCCCCGTTTTGATTATTTCTTCGCTGATTAGCTCACAGTTCATTGACCTTGCCTCTAATATAGGTGTGGGAAACTGGGCCCCTTCTGCACCACCTCTCAATGGTTCAGACAACATCAGAGGATATGGCCACACCCCATGGGAACCTCACTCCGATGGTACTTTGGCAGCTGCCTGAGTCCTTAGCTTTTGATTCAGATGGCTCCTGAAGGACCCACTCACAGGTTGAATCAAGTAATATGAAATTAGACTTGTTGAATCCAGGACCTGATCCATCCTTGGCAATGTTGTTGCAGGCTTACAAACAATTTGAAATACTGCTTCCACCTTCATATGGAAATGTTAAATGTATGCATATTATACCTCTGTTTGCATTTGTATTTATTTATTCAGGTCTAGCCCATTCTACATTAACCAATGTCAGGGCAGAGAATAGTCAATATGGCTGCTGCAACATTTTTCCCCTCATCAAAATAGTGTCATTAGCATTATACAATTGGAAAAAAATCACAAAAGACATGTAGTTCCATGTTTATGAAAACTAATCAAACATTCAGTAAAGAACATTCAGGCATTGAATAAGAGGAAACCTCTCTTTATGTATTTAGGCTTGCTACATGACTGGAAACTGAAAAATCAGGCTTCCCAGTCATGCATTAATGTACATTCTTAAAATGTTGTCCTCTTCAGACTGCAGCTCTCCACAGAGAAGAAGGATGGAAGGGGGCAAGATTAAAACATTCTCTGTTACATTTGGTTTAAACATTTTATTCAATGCCATTCAATGTCATAATCACTTCTAGCACCTAATTTTGTTGTGTTACACATAGTGCTTTCTTTGCAGTGTTCTAAATCTACTGCAGTAGGACAACTACTGGACAACCTAGAGTTTGGCTGGTTCTGGATGCAACATGAAAAACCAAACAGAAGATAATCCAGCAGATGGCACTGAGTCCTTTAACTAGAACCCATATTGCAGACTCAGCAATGTCCTGGTGAGTGAGGCACTCTTATTATTTTATTAAGAATTATCTTACCATGTTCACTCCTCCAGACTGATAGATAGAACACATGGCCATCAAAGGTGCTAAACCAATAGTTGTACCATGGAAGGACATTCCACTGAAATATATGAGGAAAAATAATTATACTGCGGGTACAAGTTGTATTAAATAAGGATGAACATTAAGAGATGAGCACGGACTAGACCTTGTGTGTCCAGCTATGGATACAATAACATTTGAAAAGCAAATCTACAAATAAGGTCTCAGAAGACTGTTTTTTCCAAGCTTCATCTTCCAATGAAAAGAAGCTGGCAGGGCAGGAAAGTTGATAAAACTCCTTTAATTCAAGATATCTTGCTCTTTATTTTAAGTTACAGAAATTGTGGCTCCACAAGGCCCTTGTGTCAGAAACATCACCTTGTGTGCTGCTCTTCAAAATAGTTACTTTGACACCTATACAAAAGTACCTGTAGGAATGGTGTGGTTTTCCCAGAAAAAAATTCTGGAATTTTTTTCCAGTGGCGTAAATAGTGTGATCTGAATATGCATGTTTATTTGACCTAATATTTACTAAACAAAATATTTTAAAACAAAATGTCTCAACAGCCCATAAATATGTGGGCTGCAATACTTGATTAGAAAAAAATAAAACACACTTAAAAGGAAATCAAAAGCTTTGTGTAGATTTTTAAAAATACAATTAGAATGTTTGTCCTTTCACATTTAATATGTTCGTCTCTAAAATCAATTGTTTAAATTTTAGAGGAAAAGGCACTGAAAAGGGCTATGGTTGTCTAAGTCTAGGTCCCACAGATTTTAACTCTCATTCACTAAAGCCATTGGGTTTCACTGTCACAATAAGCACTTGCACTATTTTGTTTAAGATGAAATTGAGGTAAGTCTGGTTCATTGCGTGAGCCACATTATTTTGGTTTAAGGATTCTTCTTCTGTAGCCAAAAGAAACTTATCACAGTACAGTAGGACAGGATCATATGCATGGGATAAGTAGCGATTTCATATATCCACTATCTCAAAATATTAAATTTTTAAAAACCTAGAAATATCCCTTTGCAAAGTATATTACCAGAATGGTCACTAGAGGGAACCAGAAATGATGTTATATATTGAGTTTCTACATCTGTGCTTTCCGGCATCCACAGGGAGGAGTGGAGCTTAGAATTAATCTCCTGCAGATAGTAACAGTTCTCCTGTGCAAGAAATTCTGAAGAACATTTGATTGTAATAGTCATATGTTGTATCTGTCTTGTTAGTCATTAATTTTATGAAACTGAACTTTTTAAAATGCTTGTTTCCAGAGGGGGGGGGGGCAAAATAAGCACTGAAAACCTTTTCTGCAGAAAACATTTTCTTATACATTATGTTGTTCAGTAAAAGAAAGCTCCTGGGGGACAGTTTCATGGCAATGAATCTGAATCTTTAATGGATTGCCTAAATCCATAACAAACTCACATAAATAGGGTAAAATAACAGCTTCTTGTCAGACATTTCCTGCATTGGACTTTCTCTCAGTTAAATTATTAAGAGATGTACATGATGACCAATCCTTTAAGTACTAGACATTCCAGAAAATATGTACAGATGCTTCTGGGAAATATAAATATCTTGGCCAATGGAATACATCACCACTCTGCTCATGGGCTGTGAAAGAAATGTTCAGCGGAACCATGGTAAATAAATATATAACCCGTTCAAACTAAATAATGCAGTGCAACATTCAGATTCATGTCGATATTCATTTTCTTTAAAAACAAGCTGATAGGTTCTGATTTATTACTGCAGCCTCCTCTGCTGAGTCCTCTGAAGCCCAGTGATTTGCTGTCACACTCAACGAGACCCAAGACTAGCTAAGAGCATAGCTCTAGAAACCTTAAGAAGCCATGTTGCTCTCACTGCAGGGACTTACGTGACCAGCTGGGCGTTGTCGTGCTTTTTATGCATTAGGATTCTGCGCCTCCAAGAAAGAAATGACCACAGGGTTGAATGGGGGTTCTCAGAGATGTCACATTTATTGAAGTCATTCCAGACTTCAAGGCCAACCAGAGCAACCCGTATGTTCAGGGATTTGTAAAACTGTGGGGTTGAAAAGAGAGAGGGGGAGGGAGTGAATCAGGTGTCTCTGTTTCCCCACCGGATTGCAGCTCTAATCTGAGTGACCCACTTAGAAAGAATGGGTTGTGCTTGAATATCTTCCTTAAGAAGCCTACGGACCTTTAACTTTCAAGTCACAGAAACTTACCCTTATGTAAAAACAAGAGGAGATGTGTGTACCAAGCACCCATCAGATGTTCTAACAGACACACTTACAATTAAGTCTTTCACATGTCCCCCTACATAGCTGGGACTCACCTTATCTACATAATTAGCCGCCTCCAGTAATTTATTCTTCGTTGCTTGAAGATCATTATTATGCTTCTGAAACTGAAAGCGGGGGAGGGGGAGAAGCAATTCAGAAGCATTCTGCACAAAATCATTATCATACCTGACATTTTTGAGATGTATTCCTGAAGATTTCTGGTCCAGTTTCCTTCTGTGCTGGCCTGAGAGAACTGTCCTTTGTTTGCTAGCCATCTACCATAATATGTGCCTGTGTATTTATCCCTTGAACATTAACTAGTTAAGGGTTTCGTTTAATAATGATATCAAACAAATGTTTACTTGTAATTTCTACCTCTCCCTGATCATGCTTAATTGAAACACTGAATTATTCAGATGGCAGACCATAAAGCAGAATAAATTGATCCGAATAATCATATGCCACAATTTCCTTCACCTATTGATTTGAGTATTTCACGATCCCTGTATCTTAAAAGGTAAGAAGTCTGGGCTAGTGTTTAAATTAGGGTGGGCAACTTTCAGAAGCTAGGGGAGTGCACATGATCTCCCTCAGGCCTTGCAGGGTTGTACTTGCTCCTTCACACCTATCTTTAAAAAAAAAAGAAAGAAAGAAAAGAAAAAGGTACCCTGTACCATTTAGTGGTGAATTTAAAAAAAATTAAAGCATGGGCAAGGGTTGCTGAGGTCCCAAAACAGGACAAAATTGTCCTTATGCCAAATAGATGGCACAAGGGGTCATTTTAAGTAATTTTTAAAAGTTTGAAAAAAACACAAACAGAAAACAACACCACAAATATTGGGGCGGGAGAGGTCTGAGGTGTCCCAGGTAGCCCCAGAGGCTGCATTTCGGCCCCTGTGTTTCCATGGTAGCCATGGACAACATTTCATACAACCCTGTTGTATGTGACTTAGAGCGTGACCACACAACCATGTGTCCTGCTGTTTGTCAGTAGCCCTCGCAGATAATTTTGTTTTACCATCAGATGATGTTATTGCTACTCGTGGGTCCATTTTGTTCCAATGGTACTTCCTCAAAACCCTCTTCCTTCCTGTGTTTCCTCACAATCTTTGGGCTTGTATTTTTGCATCAGTGAGGGGTTACTACATTTGTTTTGCAGAGATACACCCTCGAGTTTCAAAAGGCAAAAGTTTGTCATGGTGGACATTCCTCTTACATTTAACATGCTTTGTTTTGTGACTGGTCAATGGGAGAGAAACACAGGTTTAATTTGCAGGCCTAATAGCTAAGGCAAATGTCTCTGAAGAAATCTCATTAAATGACTAAGTTTTACCCTTAGATTCCATTCGAAGGTTGAGCTAAGGAATCTGTTGCCCTGAATTATTCCCTGAAATCAAACATATACACAAAGAGTACCATCCTTCCATTATGCATAACATAAAATGGCTCTAACATTATCCTCAACATAGAATGGGAAGATCTTGGCAGATATTTTTGGATTCTCTCTGTGCACACAGCATGTGTCACAGACAACAGTGTTTTCAATTTTCTTTTATTTTATGCTCAGATGGTTGCATCACCCCACACTCGCCTCGGGGCAATGCATCATGTCCAGATGTTTGCACAGCAACCTCTGTAATTTGCTATTTGGGACATAAACTATATTTATAACAAACACATAACTTCTGCTTTGCAGACTCTGCAGACTCTGCAGTGGTAACACTGCAAATAAATATGGGTCCATGCATTCTCCTTTAATTACATCTTCTGCTGCATGTCAATATACTCTTTCCTAATTAATGCAGGTGAGGATGTCACTGGCCATGCTGGTTGAGGCTGATGGGATTTGAGATACTCCAACACCAGGATGGCCATGGTCCCATACCTTTCTGTTAATGGGTTTGTGTGATTTATATATATATAAAATTAGATACTACTCAATTTTCACGGACATCCTTAAATGAGTTTGTATATTTAATTCATCCAATAAAACAATAGGAACAAAAAACTCTCAAAATCCTTTATATAACATATGTGCATCTTTTCATTGGCTTAGCCACATGGATATGTGCAAGCCTACAGAGGGTACCGGTGGTAGGAAAACAGTGATATCTGAAGCAGAAATATTGGATGTTTGAACATGTCTTCACCTCTCCCATTCCCCATGATTTCAGAAGCCAAAAAGCAGTGCTGATCACCTGAGCTGCAGAGCAAAGCAAGTGAGGGTTCTGTCAATTTCAGGGACCACATAATAATCAGCAGACAGCAACTTAGACTAAATTAAATAGCCAGTGAACTTGCAGGAATTGCACAGTTTGGCTGTAAAATATCTCTGGCACTTAAGTAGCTAATTCACTGCTTGGCAATAAAGGGATTAGAAATTGTTGAGATGATACCAAACATCTTATGCACATAAAATTCAGACACAGATTTGTGTATGTGTGTGTGTGTGCGCGCGCGCGTGCGTGCGTGTGCATGTGTGTGTGTGTGTGTGTGTGTGTGTGTGTGTGTGTGTTTTGATGGTGATGGGAGTATGCCCTTTACATCAACTGATAATTTACAAGTGGAAAAACAAGTCACATAATGATTCGGAGAAAGGATCAAGTTACCACAAAGAAACTGTATGAGCAGCAGATACATCTTCAGAGAAGAGTGTGCCAGAGGAAAAAAGCCATTAAAATAAAAGATGGATGAATGATCTAATGCTCCTGAGAATGGTTAAATAGACAAGGGACCAACTAGCTCCAGGTCACTGATTAGAACCAAATGCCATGCATATTCCAACAGGATGTTTTGACATCTTTGCTAGTTGCTTACAAGGTCTACGTGTAATAAATAAATGGTCTCGACACAGTTTGCTCTTTTACTGAATGTCTCAGTAGAAGGGGCTGTGGAAAAAGGAGCTGAAGCTGAACATGCCAACTTGGAGAGCCAGGCTGAATGACATTTCTATGATGAATGTTGAAAATGCATAGAAGCACATCCGGTATTACTATTTTCCACAAAAACCTACACCTAAACAACATGTTAATTGTTGTAAGCCACCCAGAGACCTTTGGATAGTGTGGGCAGCATATAAGTTAAATAAATAAATAACTGTTACACAAGAAATTCATGAGCAGATCACCTTGAGTTTGATTTTTAGATAAATGCAGCCACAGGCAACCAAATTTAATTGGAGTGCAAGAAGTATTAATCCTTTTTCACCACACTAATCAAAAATCCCTTCTTATCTTGATTCTCTTGACTACTCCTCATGGAGAAACTACAGATAGATACACGTACAGGATTCCTTCCTTTTTATATATTATCTCCAGTGGTCTACCAGGCAATAATATATATTAAAAACACCACCACTGATGCTGCCTTTAAGTAAAAACAAATCAAAGAGATGTCCAGTTTTTTACTTCCTGCGTAATTTGTAGCTTGGCTCTGAATTATATGTCTACCTTGCATTTGACTCTGGCCTGGTCTAAAGACATGATTCTCTTACCTCTGCATAATCAGCCACTAATAGAAGTTCCACATATTTTGTAGATTGCTGATCATCCCTCTTTACCTGTGGTAGAAGCACAGAAATGTATGTGTCCAAGTGTTTGAAAAAGCTTTTTAAAAGACAAAATATATTTTATTCCAACCCCCCCCACACACTTTGTAAAATACAAATATGCATTGTATAAACAGCCATTTTCAGGGTGTGTTTCCAGTGTTCATCACTGATTATGAATGTTACCAAAGACAGGTGGATGCTAAACCAAATCAAGACTGAACTCTCACTAAAAGCTAAGACAACAACACTGAGGCTGTTATGCTTCTCATGGGAAAGCAAGACTCACTGGGAAATGTGGAAAACAATAGGAAAAAATGGTTGTTGTGGGTTTTTCGGGCTCTTTGGCTGTGTTCTGAAGGTTGTTTTTCCTAACGTTTCGCCAGTCTC